CAAGGCGCCAACTTCTAAGCCACAAAAATGCGCTTTGAGCCAAGGTCGATTACAGCTTTTGACGGGCTGATTGCGTGATAAAAAGGCTGGCAAAACGCGATGAAGATCATCAAGAATTACTTAAACGATTCTGAAGTTGGTTTTTGAAAATATTTTATTTGTGTCGAAACTAATTAACATCATTAAATGCTAATGTTGATGCGGGGTTTGCTAATAGAAACCGTTTTTTTGGCTGCCATTCTAAAAATGTACGTAACGTACGGCTAATTGACAAATTTAAAAAGGAAAACTTAAAGAGGTATGCAAATCTAAAAATTTAACATACATAAAAAATAATGTGGTTACATTTTATATCTTATTTGTCGACCATGTATCTGCATTTTTCGAGCTTAAGTCCTGGCTTTTAGTCTCTTATTTACGGCCATTGCGGATTTACTTAACACTTGCTAGTCAACTAATATGTGTGTTTACGGCCCTGCCTCTTTGGCAATTTTGTGGCGCGTGTTACGAGGCTGTGGCCACCATTAAGTGTGGCCGAAAATCGGCTGGCGTTTTAAAGCCGTCCATCTGAACAATCGGGCTGAACAGCGGCTAAATGCTGGCGGTGCTGTGCTAGCCACACTCAAGCACACACACACATACACAACATGGCAACACTGTAACACACCCAATTTGGCTTTCGGGCCTTTGACGCTGTCTATTAGCCGGGTTATGAGCAAATTACGGGAGCGCCGCAGCCATAACCAATGCCATGCCCCACAGAAACCGGCGGTGGAAAAAAGCTAATTGCACCACAAACACACATCGCGATTGGTGGTTCCGAACGCGGTGGTACGGTGGTACTCGGTGGCTCGGCGGTTCGGTGGAGCGGCCTACGCAGCCTGCGGCCGTTGTTTAATATGCAACAAATCAACGCGCCAATTGTGGCGTAAAATATTTACATTGCCCCCCGCCGCGGGCCCATTTGACCCCAGCCACTACGCCCCTGTACCAGCAGCTGTCTGCTTTTGAGGCCCAGAGCATCTCTACCAAGCTTCCTACTTCCATTCATTTTGTGCTTGATTTGTTTTCATCATCCGTTTCAAAATATTTGTTATTTATCCTTTAAGGTTCATAATTCATGGGTAAATTTCGCTTGATCCGGAAAGTTTCTTTTTTTTTTTTGTTCACCGAAAAATTATTAGTTTTCTGAAGCACGATTAAAATTGAAATAATTGAGCAATATGATTTATAGTTATTAAAGGAAATGTTTCGTTTTAAATTATTATAAATATATTAACAATTCATATTTAAATAGAAATTATATGGTTTTTGGTTTTAAATATAAATGTTAGAAGTTGGCAATATACATCTCTATCTTTTCTATTGAAATAGTCCACCAACTATTTATCTCCCCTGCAGTTTTGTCCATTTTTCAACAAGTAATCACCTACTCTTGTACCACTAATCCCGCTAACCGCTTCCCTCGACTCTTTTGATTTTGTTTATGGCGTTTAATTTGTGCATTGTTTGTGTGGCTTTTGGGGATAATTGCAGGCATCAATAGCAGCAGCAGTAGCACCCACTCAGACACACAGAGGGCAATCAAACCGCCAGTGGACAGTGGCAATCAGATTGCCACAGACACCCACACGAACCGCTGGAAAAATTTGCGAAAAACCACAAACTGTTCCGTTTGGCTTTCATTAAGTTTTCAGCCGCTTTTTTGTTTTGGCAACTCCATAATCAACGTCCATTTCGGAGTAACCCCCTAACCTGCCACTATTTGCTTTGGCCATTTGTTTGCTGTTTGTTTTTCGTGTGTTGTGTGGCGTGTGTGTTGAGTGTTGTGTGCACTCCTTGTCGGTGTATTAGTGTACGTGCTTGTGTGTGTCATTAATCTCCAACATAGAACCAATCAAACGGCAACTCCACGCAAAATACAGAAATGATTCCCCACTGTTATTGATGATGTGTTGATTAGGTTCTGACAAACCAATCGCGGTCATGTGAACAACAATCAAAGTACAAAATTTCACTTTGAACTCATGCCGCGAATTTGGGGGGTGGGGGCCTCAAAGCCCCCGCTGTGGGGGCGGAACCCCCAAGCCTGGACGCCACTGCAGTCCATGTGTGTGCGGTCATAGGCAAAATTTGGGTCATGTTTGCTCGTTTCATGTTGCCAAACCAAAGGAAAAAAATAGAAAAAAATAAAAAGAAATAAAGGAAAAACCCTAAGCCGAAATCATGCAAACCAGCGTGTGTCTAATGAATTGCCACCCATGTGTGGCTGCAGCCTTTATTTTTTACCTTTTTAACTGGCCAGCGGAAAAAAGGTGGTCAAGATTTGTGGTCGCTGCAGTTACGCCAAAGAGCTGCCACCGCTGCAAGAATAACGCCGGCTGTCTGTCAATTGTTCGATATTTATGGAACATAAATCCAACCTGAAGGGTCATTCACTAATTGGGTTTTTCGTTAAAGGGGGAAAGGTTTCTATGGTCGCCTGGCTTAGAAATGAGTCAGATGGCCTCAAATATCAAAGGAACCTACGTTTTAGTTTGCTTTTTCAGCAATAAAAATATTGCGCTTTCTTTAAAGATTTTCCTATTTATTCTACTGTACAAAAGATGATATACTGTTTTAGGACCAAGTAATAAATAAAAATCTATTGCCTTATAAGATGTTAGATTCTTCTATATTTTTATTTTTCTAAAAATCTATAATATTTTTCAAGAATTTTTCTGTAGGTTATTTGACTTTGCTAATTTATTTGATCTTTTGTAATATTTTAAATATATGGTATAAACTTCCTTAAACACATCGCTCTAACCTTCCACACGTCAGTGAATATCATCCCATTAACAACCTTTGATTTCCCTGAATTCGCACATAATTATACCCACCAAATACGCAAATCAAATGCAATTAAGTCCGAATTCCAATTCAGAGTGAACTTCCGTAACAACCCTCGCTGCGGCCAGTGCCCTTCCAACCAACAGCCTGTTAAGTCACACAAAAAACCGAAAAACAAAATGAGCTAACGAAGAAAGATCTTTGCATTTGTAATTTCATGCCAGAATTCCTCGATAAATTGATACATATGGTGGTTCACTTCACTGACTAACTTGCGGCCCGACCATGGTTGGTGCCACGCCCCCTCCGGACCACTGAGAGCCCGCCTGGTCGAGCTAATGGCCTGGCCAATTGTCGCAAATTAGTGGAGGCCAGCCCAACACGCACACACGGCAGACTCACACACAACACACAGAAACACACACACACACCCAAATAGCACACATGCAAACAAAACAGGTGAAGTGGAGTCAAGACAACAAGACAACTGGAGTCAAGACAAACACCTAAAGCCAATCCACATGAGCACCCAAGCTAACGGTACTCCGGCAAACAGAAGATGGCCAAGAAGTCGGGCCAAGAGAAGACGGAGAGAAAGAACAGCTATAAAGAAGTTTACTGCTACAATTGGCAAATTGAAAATTGCTCGCTGGTGGCGGCGGCGGCGTTGGAGTTTCAAACTCAACTTCAAGCCGAAGCTGAAGCTGAAACTGAAGTTGAAGTTGAAGTTGAAGTTGACCGGGCCAAGGCGGAAGCTTCAGACCGAAAGACCCTGAGCGGGCCCAAAGCCAAAGCAAAGGCCCCTCCCCCCGCGATGCGTTCGTCTGGCGAGATAAGCTGACATCCACGACGTGCCACAGACGATGATGCATTTGCCAAGGTACTCGCAAGTAGTTGCAACCACAGCCGCTGGAGACAGACCCGCCGCACCAGACAGAGACGTTTCAATTTCAAAAAAGAAACGCTTTATTAACCGACTGCAGAACGTTAAGATACCCTAAACGGAGATTCAACTTCCCATTTAAATTTTGATTAATGAAGTATTAGAATTAACGAGTTCCAACTTAATCACTACATATAATTCAGTGTTTTGAATTATTTTTCCTACCATTTAAGTAGAACAATGATAGAAAAAAACCTTCGTGAATTTACCTTTTTAAATAATCTTAAGTTTTATAGCTATTTTCTTTTTTATGTATTTATATATATAATCTAAAACAACTAACGTGTTAATGCTTCGAGAAAAGAAAGGAGAAACCATAAGGAGCTTTATAGTAAAAACTTAAGCAGTATCAAACTTCAAAAAAAGGTTTTCAATATTTTGGGTTAGGTTGCAGTCATTGGTTTCTTTATGTCTAAATTTGTTTTCTACATGCTGCACACCATCTATTAAATATTCAACGTACTCTTCTCCATAACTAAGAGGTATTCTTAAAAAGCAACAAAACGGTTTTGGCCGGGCCAATCTGGCAGGCAGACATTTTAATGAAGCCGCCGTCAGGCAGAATTTGAGGCAGCCACTCTTGGCCGTCTGGCTGTTAACGGTGCCAAGTCCACGGTTCTATATATACATAAAACTATGCAACGCGGCGTCTGAGGCCAAAACGAATGACTTAAGCGACGAACCTGATGAGCTTGGCTTAGTGCGTAATATTACCTAAGTTTTGGACTTTGCCTGAACTACATTTTAGAGTACCTTTCGAGAACCAACCAAAATAGGGCCAAAAATGTCACTTTCAACTTTCGCTACCAGTTTTCCCCGCCGTCAACTCAAACTTGACCCAATTCTGCGGGGAAACACCCACACGGCCCGTTGATTCGGGTTCTCTATAATTAAAAAGCCAAGCAAACGAAACGAAACGAAACGAAATGAAATGTTAACTTCAAAGTCCACTTGATCTGGGATCCACGCACTTGATTGGCACTGCCACACTGATGGAGAGAACTTGGCCCAGTCTGTTTAGGCGTTAATTGCGGGTTCTGGCAAATTACAGACTTTGGCTAAGAGGCCAGCAACATGAAATGCACTTTCTCTTTGCCGCGGTGAAAAGTGAGTGAGCCAAAATGTGGATTGTTTTGAATTGAATCGAGTCGAATCGAAATGGTTTCAGATTTGAGATGGATGTGCGAGGGCGTATGCCAAAAAATCGATGGCAGCTGCTGCTTACCTTTTGTTTAGTCTTCTAATTGCTCCCGAAGATCGCCGATCACATTACCACTGCAAAGAAATAAGCGAGGAGAAAAACACATGAGTAAGCAAAAGAGAAATGCAAATTAGTTTATGAAAACACTCAAGCAGACAATGAACTCCTCAACTTCATTCCCATTATGGACTCAGCTCTTCAAAAGATCTCGAAAACTGCCTTTGCCGTCAGCTACAAATTGACATTGTTTCTGCTATTTATTTTAGACACATTCATGTGGCGGCCAACACGTGTTACCCCGTTGTTCTGTAAGTGACTTTGATTTCGATTTGATTTATTGCCTGCAATTGTCGCGCACACACAAACCATCGAAAAGTGAAAACTTTCCGCCTAAGTTTTTGTTCACTTTTGCTTTCGAAACTTTCAATTCGGTGACTTAATTTCTTGGCAGTGCCAGAGGGCTAATGAAATCGAACTGCCGCTTAACAATGGCAATAGCACTTTTATTGTCAAAGCTTTGCCAAAGAAATTATCAAGTGCAGTTCGGCTATGGCACTTTTACTTTCATTGTCGTGGAAGTGCTAACAAACGAACAAACGGTACCAAAAACAATTTTCACTTGAGTGAGTAATGCCCATTTTCCTTTTAGCATCGGCTAATGAGCCGAAAATGCTTTTCGAATCCATTTCAAAGGGTCGCCAGTCACTCAAACAGCAAATTACCAAACAATTTCAATGTCTTTGAATGCGATGTTAAGTCGATTTTTATGGGAAAATGTTTTCGCCGCAGAAATGAAATGAATCTCTTACAAAGTGTGAACGAAATATTTTACGTAAGAAAGTTTATCGCCATAAACAAAAGCTTACCAAAATAAAACAAATGCTTTGTCTTTAGGCCTTAAATCACAGCCATTAAAAGAAACCTTTTAACAAACGAAATTAATACAGTTTCTTTCGCAACTACCAATAACTTTGAGAAGCTCGTGGAAAATGGCTTACCATATATTTCCCAAAGAATTCTAAACTCAGCTTGGCTTTTTGTTATCAAATTTGTCAAATGTGGTAATTTATTCCCTAGTTTTTGACCCAATCTCTTCCATAAAACTAAATGATCATAAAATAATACCATAAATATTTATACTATTGTGTCATGTCAACAAATCGCTGGGATTAGTTTTTAGTGTCTTGTGTTGGCCAAACAAAGCACCAATAAATCTTTTGTTACCTCGGGAATACCTCACACTATTACGGTTTATGGTAAACTATTATTACCAATTTGCTGGTTACTTTTTCAGAACTATAATTTGTATCATGAATTCTTGCAACATTTTGTAGCCGTCTAATTGAAGTGAGAATTTTGTTATTAAACTCACTGATGTATGACATATTAGGCATAATGAAATTACTGTATGCAAGAATTCCCACAACTTCTGAGCTGTCTGACAATGAGTGTTCCCAGCCGAGAAGACAAGGGCATAAATTGCAGTTGGCCAGTTGGTTTTGGTTCACTCTACCGTGGCGGCGACGGGGGCGGCGGCGGTGCAGTGGTGGGCGTGGCAGCCATGGCAACTGCAACGAGTTTGCATGCAAACCATGAAATTATCTGCAGTTGATCTCGAGCAGGGGGGCAGCTTGGACCTGGACATGTTCGCTACTCGAATTAAATAAACAAGAAAAAACCAGAGCCAACAATAGGAGAGGCAAACAAACGTATCAATTAGCAGGAGTCAAATACCCGAACCCAAAACATTAAGCAAACAGAGCTGGCCAATGAAATAGGTATTCGGATAAAAAAGGTAACAAATTGCTTTGTAACATTAAGGAATTTGCAATACAACTGTGTTTGTTTTAAATAAAATATATACTTTAAAAGCTTAAACTTATTTTGGTTTATTAAGAGTTTATTATGTTGCTCAAGTATTTCAAATCATAAACTAAATATTTTATTTGTTTACAAATTATCAAGAATTTTTAAACAAAGCCAGTCGAAAAAGTACTCACATTCGTAGCTCTTACATTTATACTACTGATTATTTGATCCTACAATTACAAGACCTTCAGCACAATGAAAAAGAAAAGGGAGCCGAAGGTGAAGTCCTTCTTCCGCAGCGAGGACATGGAGCTCTGTCAACTGCTCCTCCACACGGACAATGCCTTCGATTGCCTCATTGAGTTGGGTCACCATGGATCGGCGCAATTCAACAATGTCTACGATGAGGATCGCCTGCTGAACAATTTGTATTCAAAGAAGGTGAATATGTGCTACGAATACCTGCGACTGGTGGAGAACCTGCACCACCAGATCGTTCAGCTGCATGTGAATGAGGTTTTCTACCCGGATGTGGATCGCGAGGATCGTCTGAAGGAAAAGGATTTGGCCAAGTATGGGGATCGGTTGAAAAGGATTCATGTGGAGGCAAGTTCCGTAACGGAGCACTATTACAAATTGGACAGTCGCAGATATCGCATGATGGAGCACAGTTTCGCCATTACCAAGGCCAACAAATATATGACCTCGGACATGGGGAGTGAACTTTTATATTCGGAGAGCACAATTATGGGTTTGGTTCAGGATGCCTCTACCAACACGGGAACTCATCCGTCGCAACTCACCTACATGATCGGTTGCATTCGAGCGGATAAGTTCTACAGCTTCGAGTTGTTACTATATAGATTGTGTTCCTTCAACCTGATCATTCGATTTGCCGAAATGCCAACTCCGGTCTACGAATTTCACTATGGCCAGAAGCCCGAGAAAGTGCGCAAGTTCGCAATCCTCATGATGGCCAGTTCCGCGCTGCTCTGGCCAAAAGTCTTGAAGATCTGCGGGCACTATCATGTGAATATATATGACTGCCCAAAGTCGGCTAGTTTGCGGGAGGAAAAGGTGAAGGAACTAAGCCAGGAGATCGTGAATGTGGAGAAGGTTCTCAAGGAGGCCGAATTAATGCGACGCCAGATCCTCGAGATCGCTGGTCAGGATTTGTTTATTGTGCGGGTGAATCTCCGCAAGGCTCTTAAAGTTTACGATCTGATGAATCGCCTGAGATTGGTGGGTGGAGTGGAAGTTCCCCGATATCTATTGGCTGAAGTGTATATACCGACTGCGGATGTTCCGGAAGTGAGGGAAATCCTGGCCAATGCCTCCAGATTGAGTGGGGGTGCAGACAAGGCGGAGGAAAATGCCGAGATGACCGATGCATGGGATGCAGACGATAGGAAGAAATCGGAAGATGCGGAAAGGAACTCCAGAAGGCGCAGTTCGGATTTAAAACCGGATGACGACATGGCTTCTCGTGCGATTTTGCTGAAGAAAACCCGGTTGGTCAACCACATGCCACCAACGTACTTTCGGCTGAATAAGTTCACCCGGGGGTTCCAGAACCTGATAGACGCCTATGGAGTTGCCGACTACAAGGAGTTGAATCCCGCTCCCTACACCATTATCACATTCCCATTTCTTTTTGCCGTGATGTTTGGCGACTTGGGACATGGCATCCTCTTAATTTTGTTTTCATGGCTCATGATTTGGAAGCACAGGGCGATTGAGAAGTACCAGATCGCCTCGACCTCGGAGAACGAGATCCTGAACATCCTCTTCGCCGGTCGGTATATAATCCTGCTGATGGGGATTTTCTCCGTCTACATGGGAGTAGTTTACAACATCGTCATGTCGAGGGGCATGAATTTATTTGGTTCGAGCTGGAGTTGTCGGTATAACGCGACCACTGTGGAGGATCACTTGAGTCTGGTGACCTTCGATGCCTCGAACCCAAACTTTTACAGCGGCCATCCGTATCCCATTGGCATGGATCCCATATGGGCAGTTTGTGGCCAGGACTCCATCACCACCACCAATTCGCTGAAGATGAAACTTGCCATTGTTTTGGGTATTTCGCAAATGATGTTTGGACTCGGACTGGCGGCAGCCAATTGTATTCTGCTGAAGAGGAAGGCGGATCTCTTTTTGGTGGTGGTGCCACAGATGGTGTTCATGACCTGCTTGTTCTGCTACCTCGTCTTCCTGATCTTCTACAAGTGGCTCGCCTTCGGGGGCCACAAGGAGGCGCCCTACAACTCGGCTTGTGCTCCCTCTGTTCTGATCATCTTCATCAACATGATGCTCCTGAAGTCGGAAGCACCGCCGGAGAATTGTATGGCGGACATGTATCCCGCCGAGCGGTTGGTGGAGTACGTCCTGGTTGCTTTGGCCCTTTGCACGATTCCCATTCTGCTGGCTGGAAAGCCACTATATCTCCTGCGACGCCGGAAGCAAATTGAAAAGGCAAGGGCGCTGAAGGACTTCAAGCGGAATCGACGGCAGACGATCAAGGAGATGCGATCTGACTTGCGATACAACGAGGATGATGTCAGTGAGCGGAGCGTCGACAACGAGGAGGAGTACGAAATGTCGGAGGTTTGGATCCATTCGGGTATCCACACCATCGAAACGGTTCTGGGTTCGGTTTCCCATACGGCTTCGTATCTCCGACTTTGGGCTCTCTCATTGGCTCACGACCAGCTGTCGGATGTCCTGTGGCACATGGTCCTCAACAAGGGGTTCTCCAACAACTTGCCACTCTACTACTCCGTTCCCATGCTCATGGCCTCCTTTTTCGCCTGGGCCATCCTCACAGTGGCCATTTTGGTGATGATGGAGGGGCTGAGTGCCTTTCTGCACACCCTGCGTCTCCATTGGGTGGAGTTCCAGTCCAAGTTCTTCGGCGGAGCAGGGGAGTCCTTCAAGGCATTCAGCTTTCCCGCCTCCAACCAAAGGAGCTAATTTAATTCTCGGTTTTTTGTTACTTTCTAAATATAAATTTTTGGTTCTTCATGTAAGTGTTTTGTGCTCCTTAAATTACCTAGCAATTAATTGTTATTAAAGGCTGGTGATTTGGGTAATCACTTTTAAAATTGTATACCTTGATTTTATTTCAATTCATATCTATGAATTTTGGATGAAATTTGGAATTTTTATAAATTGGCAGAATTAGGAAAGTGTACTTATAATCGGTAGAATTTAATAATAATTCGATATTGATATCTAGAGTAAAAATCATTCTTTGGATAGTTCTGACAATTTGAATACATTAGTTTAAGTATAGAGTATTTTATCCAAAAAACTAATTACATGAACTGAAAAAGTTTTGTCCAAGATTCCTTTGAGCGGCTGTACTGCCAGAACAAACATTTATTTTTCGGATGAACCTTGGTTGTTGGCTCCGTCTATCTTTTGGCAATTAACTGTGGCCAAGAGCTCGCCAAGAGCAACCCACGCCCGCCGTTGCGGACTCGAACATTCCTTTGCAATTAGCATTGGCCCGGCTCCATGCAAAAGGCCATAAACCAAAGCTGGCTTTTAACAATTTCCATTTGTTTGCTTTATGCCATTGCCAGCTGCTATTGCTGCTGCTGTTGCTGCTGTTGTTGCTGCTGCTGCTGCCGTTGCAGTTGCAGTTACGACTGTTGCCGTGGCAGGCTTCCTTTCTGCGATGCGGGCGCTGGAAGTCGTCGACCCTTTGGATCTGCTCTTTAAGCCAGCATGGCTGCTGTTCTATTCTACTCCGCTTTTCTTCTCGAATACCCTGTTTCTTCTGAGCAAGAGGTATACTTTTACTAGTTTTGTATGCCAAATTGCATGCCATAAATGCTGAGGCAGTAAAAATTGGCTGCAAGTCTTTTATTATATCCAGAAGGTTGAGATTGATTTGCTTTGTTTTTGGCTCTTGATAATAAAATTGGCCAGCAATAAAAAACCCTCTGGCATTTTGATAATTTTAATAGAAGCTAACAGTATTCCAAAGTCAAATGCTTTTGATACATTTTATGCTGTTTCCTATTAACTAAGATATATTGTCTACCAATTTGGATCTCCTTGAACATTAGTAACATTTCTTTTTACTTTTTCTTTGCAGAGAATTTGTTATTTTTACTTGAAACTCAACCATATCTTGGGTAATTCTTTGTCGCATTACTTTGCCACACGGCTCTTGCCAGTTTTCCACACACTCACACAGCTGAGCATTTTTGTGTCTCTGCCGCTGTTGTTGCCGCTCTGTTTGCCATTAACACCCACGCCAACAACTTTGCTCGCTGGTTGCTGGTTGCTGTTGGCTGGTTGCTGGTTGGCTGAGGCCGCTGTTTGGGCCCAAAGACTTGGCATAAATTATGAACAGCAACCGATGACGCATGCAGGCCGGCCTAAGTAGACTGGCTCGTGCATAAATAACTTTCGTTAGCCACATGGCCCCGGTTGACTTGGCCCGACTTTATTAGATCGCAGCGACAACACCAGCACACCACGAAAAGCAGAACTAACTCGTGGTGGTGGTGGCAGTAATGTGCAGTAAGTTTCATGACCAGAGCAGGTTTTTGGGCAGCGGCAAACACTCTATAGTACACTCTACGCAATTGCCAGCCCAAAACAGGCTTCGACTCGTTGGCTTTGGCTATAACTTTAAGCCGCAGCACGCGCCATTGTTTAGGTGGTGCAGCAAAAAGCGGCAAAAGGCAGCAAAAAGTGGCAGCAGCAGCAGCAGCAGTGGCTGTGGCAGCGGATCGGGTGGGTCAAGTTTGTTGCCCAAGTCTTTTGTTTATACTTTCGTTGATGCGGCGGCCGCTGTGCGTGGCTCTAATGCTGGGCCCAATGGCCAACTGCTTAGCGCTTTTATGGCCAACAATTGTCAAGTCTCTAAGGGGCTGCCGGGCCCAAGATTGCAGCCATGCTAGCTTAGAACTAGTGCACAGCGAGAAATTAGAAAAAGAACTAGGTTTCCTGGCATAAGTGATGAATTAATGATTGCAAATAAGGCTACAAAAAGCAATTTTTAATTTATAAAACAACAAACAATTGATTAAGACACATTAAATGCTTTATTTAAGACTTAATATTTAAAAAACAATGCTATTTTAATTAATTAAAATTGATTTTGGATTAAATTGAGAACATTGAGAACATTTTATTTTTTATTTAAAAATAAATTTTTGTGACAAAGCCTCTGTAAAATCTTCGGTTTGCCAACCTTTTCCCACAACATTTTCTCTCTGTGTGCACTGGAAGAAAAGCAAGGTCGCATTGTTGTCTGGGGAGAATCAATTTGAGACTTAAATGCGGATGGTTGTCCGTTTCTGCTCGTCAGTCGCATCACGTCACGTCACGTTCTCCGACTCATGCTCTTGGGTCGTCAGTTTTTTGAGTGCATTGCTGCCTGCTGCTGTCCTTTAAAGGGTTTTGCCCATGGATGTGACTGCATGTTGTTGTTGATACTCCTGCTGCTGCTCCCATGTTGCGACTGTTGTCATTGTTGCGGCAGCTGCAACAGCAACAGAACAGCAGCAAAGCAGCAAAACAGAACAACCATTGTTGGCAGTGCGACTCTGCCTAGTTCTGCTTTTGGGCCTTTACATGCGCGGCCGTAACAAAAAAGGTGTTAAATTCAGCCCATGGCTGGCCAAAGCGAACTGCAGGCCAAAAGCCAGAGCCGAAGCCAAAGTCAATAAACTGCGAGGAATTCGCTGGCTCAGCAGAAGGACATTTTCAGCTCCAAACTCGGACGACTGAAGCACCTCAAGTGCTTGAGCACAAGCTGGGCGAGCAAATAAAAAAATAAGCAAAAAAAACCAACATTTAAATGAAGTCAGCATGATGATGGAAACATCAACACAACAAGCGAAAACAATAACATTCAGACTTAACTGTAAACATCTGTGAACTATTAAGGCAATTAATTAACAACTGGCTACACAATTTGTTGGCTTTGCACATTTTGTCCGTTTTCGCCATTCGGGCTGTCAAGTGGAAAAATGCCATTTAATTCGCCACAAATTGTGCATTGTTTGGGCCTTAATTAAAATTGTCTTTTGTTCATCCTCATCTTCGTCGTCTTTTGCCTTTTCGACTCTTTTTTTTTTTTTGCTTTGCAGAACGGAAGCTGACAATTGACCATTAAAGCGGCAAAAACAAGCAAGATCTGTTACTGCGAAGGAGAAAAACTTTCACTCAACAGAAATGTTTTAATTAAAATTGGCAAAAAACAAAGCGAAGCTGACGGAAAGAAATTAATTTAAACTAGATATTGTGTGTGTAACCGGTTGGGAGTTTGCATTTGCAATGCTCAGCGGGAAAAGTGAAACTTCTCAGGCGCTCTTTGAGAACCCAATTTTGGCATTTAGCAGTTCATTAGCAAGTTGGCTACAAAATATGCATAAAATTAATCAGACAGTAGGGGAATGTTGTCAGGGTTGGGCCGTTGTCAGGGTCGGGCCATCTCAATATTTCGAATATTCGTTCTAGAACAATCTGTTTGTGGGTGTCTAGAAACTTCTATCGGTCACTCGAAACTTTCCACGTGACTACTTATTTCGGGATTTCATTCTTCTACGCGTCGTTGCTCCGTGAAGAAAAAGTGCTCGAAAAAAGTTTTTTTTACCTGGCCGAAAAAGGTGAATATCACAAGAAAACAACATGTCATCCGCAAGGTGAGCATAAAAATACGTTATATAGTTATTTTTTTACAAAATACTAAGATATAGTTTCATTGTGAGATATAGTTTGGCTATATCATACCATAATAGATTAATACCGCATGTCGTCAGGGTTGGGCCACTTGTGTAGTCAGGCTTGGGCCATCATAATTTTTACATTTTATTCGTGTATTTTCGATTTTTGTTGTAATATTTAAGTTTTTTGTAGCAAAAATATGCAAAATAAATTAAATAGATTTCCTTAAAAAAATATTTCGATGGATTGAAAGAAGATGAATCATTTTTATCTTTTTCTTTAGTGTTTCTCGCTACAAACGAAAAAACAACTCTGAATAATTTTTTATTTACTGTAAAATCCCAAATAATTAAATAAATGAACAAAATAATGTCAGATTAACCTGAATTCAATTTTATTCCACCACGTTACGATATTGTCAACGATTTTCTGAAGGTGGCCCAACCCTGACTACATGGCCCAACGCTGACTACATTTTTTTTTTTTTTTCAAACGCCTATAACTTTTTTTGTTTTTGTTTTTTTGTTCTCTTTTTTTGGTGAACACTTCCTCTTGCTTGTACCTTTCCAAAAATGTATAAACTTATTCTGAATTGTCATTGGTTCAGAAGTTATGGACATAGGTCAAAACATGGCCCAACCCTGACAACATTCCCCTACCAAATACAGGCCATAAAAGCAGAAAGTGAAAGACTGTGGAAAAAACACGTGGAGATGCCCATAAATATGAAAAGAAATTTCTGCACATAAATAAAATAAATGAATGAAATAAAAACATTTTACGATTCATAAATAACGTCGAAAAAACAAGGCTTTTGAACCTGTTAAGCTGTTTTAATGAATTAATAATTATATAATAATTTATATATTTTTCTTTTTAGCTCGAGGTCCATTTTGTTAAAATAATTCAAAATAATTGCCTGCGCTTGACATTTCTAATTAAAATAATACAGAGAATTAGTAAATGTTTGAAAACGACAAGTGCATTGTTTTATTCTGGCTCACAACGATTTAAATGGATCACACGCTTAACAATTCCCGTTGGGAAATATTAATTGAGTTAAATGTTTTGTTTTTGTGTCACAAACAAGATAAGAATCCAAAATTAGTTAACTCAAAGTGATGAACCCCAGAAGAAAACCCGGCCGAAAGCCATGTGACCCTCATTAAAAGTAAGTTTCATGTATTTATTCCTTTGATCTTCAATCGGCGACCACACAAACACTCCAGAGAACGTTTTTGATTATTTTCTCAAGCGGTTTCTCTCCGCCATTTCAGGCTTTTGTCTTTTGTCTTATTGCCCAAGCCATGCATAATGAGAACCTGATATATGGCGATATACTATATACCCGTATATATGTCAATTACAGCACGATCTTTTGGCAAATTCGCGGCAGCCACCGACGCCTGACACATTTCCAGTGGGTCAGAAGTCTGATACCGATATTTATGTCAGCGGCGACAATAAATTTGTCAGCTTTTTGTTAACCGTTAAGTAAACGCAATGCATGATTTGTGTTTTGTAATGAGGGCGAGTGAGTGTCTGAGCCGCCGCGAAAAATGTCGAACGAATCCGCCGACGAAGATGAAGTTAAACTCGAGTGGCGAACGAAACGGGTTTGGGTTCAGTTCATAAAATATTCATGATATGCCAAATGTTTTGTTTTACTTGGCTTTTTGATTGTTGTTTTGTCTTTTTAGCAAAGCGAAATTGCTCAAGATTGAGTCATGGAATTTGCGTTGGGACATCAATATTCAATAGGCAGAATTATTTATAACGCTCGGAGACAGAATATATTTCTTTATTGGTTGTTATTCACTGCAAAATTAAATGAAAGGGTAAAGAAATAGAATGATTTTAAATTGAATTTTTGTACAAGGTATATAAGTATAAAAAAAATTTGTGTTTACCAATAAAAATTAATTATAAAAACAAACAAACTGAAGTGTGACCATAAAAGCGACATTGACCATTCAAGAGCTCAAATTCGATGGCTCTCGACACATTGTTTCCATCACTTTCGGATGCATTGGCAGCAGCAACTGGCAACAGCAGCAGCAACAACAGCAACAGCAACAGCGGCAACATTAACGGCAACAATGGGAGCAATAGCAACACCAATTGCCTGACCTTCAGTGGGCCACTTGAGGAGGTCTGAACTGCCGCACAGCTTCTGCAGCACCGTGGCAAACTCGAACACGAAGTTCGCTGGCTGTCAGACATTTGAGTGACTGACATGCAACACTGGCAACAGCAACATCGGCAGCAGCAGCAGCAGCAATAGCAATAGCAACAGCAGAAGTCGAAGCGGCAACAATGCACAATAGCGTGCCACAGACAGTCGAAAACACCAATTGGTGTCAAAGCAACAAAATGCTACCGAATTTCGACTGCCACTAAGGGAATTTCTCGCTGCCGAAATTAGCAATAAATCAAAGATTGCGAGTCAGGAACGCGGCTAACTAATTTCACTAAAGGGAAACGCGCTGCACAGCGAAAACGATTTCGAAAAATGTTTGAATTTATTAGAGATCGAAAAAATATCTCAGATAAAACACTCCCGATGTCTTCAATCTTGAGGTGTTAATTCTTGAAGGAGATAATTTATCTCTTTATTAAATTTCATTTAAATGTATTCTTCTAATTTTTTGACATCATTTGTAAATTATAAAAATGTAGAAAAAGTTACAATTTTTTATTGGATTTTAAACCTAATGTTTAATAAATATAGTATTATTATTTAGTATTATTTGATATACACATTTTTGAAACATTTTCGGTAACCAGTTTAAGGACTTTGAGATACAAGAGCAAGATACTAATGTACAATAAGATATGGTTTAATGATCAGATATGTTAAAATATCTTATTAATTCAGATTTAATTTTTTCTCTGTAGCGGGGCACTTTGCAACCGTTTTGGGCTGCCGAAAAACGCGCAGAAAGGCAGCGAAAAGCACTTGGAGCTGCTGCCCACGCCACTCGAGAGGAGAGCAGCAGCAAACAGCAACAGCGACAGCAACAAAAACAGCAGCCCGCCAGTCACATAAATAAGTCACCATCAGAGTCAGATTCAGATTTAGATTGAGAATGAGCGACGCTGACGCCGAGCGCACACTTGGCCATAAATCTCGGAGAGCGTGGGCAGGTCGGAGTCGGAACCCCTTCCCCAAAGTCCAAAAAAGACGTCAGCGGCAAATGGGGCCACGCCTCACCAAGCTTCGTCTTCTTCTTCTTCTTGCCGTTGTTGTTGTTAATGTGGTTTTTGTTGTTGTTGTTGGTCGAAAAGCCACAGAGTGAGAGGTGGCATCAAGTGCGTATTAAACACTCTGCCAGAGCCATAATCAAGCTAATGCCATCTTATGACTCAACTTGAAAGCATCTCCTCCTCGGCTAATGGCAGTAAAAAGAAAAGTGAGCTCTGTAATATTTGTTGATAATCTGTTTATGGTCAGCAGAACTAGGCCTCATTACCATATGAGCCAATGTGAGCTGCCACAGACATAAATAAGCCAGAGAGTTGCCGTTAGGCCAACGCACTTAGCACCAACAGAAACCAGCAGAAATGGCTGGGAATTCTCCCCAATTGACACATTTGGCACAGAGTTGGTTTCTGGCTCTTGATTTGCATTTATTTTTAATAAATTGCATGGCAAAAGTAAATCCATGGCTCTTGAATCTTGAACTTGTGCCAAGCAAGAGGAAAATGGGAACAGCTATTAAAATAAATCCCCAAAACTGGTTTACAAGTTTTTAATATATAACATCATTTATCATATATATTTACGTTGTATTGCCCTTGTTTAAATGGTTTAAGTGAAGATTATTTTTTGCTTTGTAATAATAATAATAAAGCAAGTGTTATGCTTTTGAATTAGATACCCTGTCTATAAATTTCTTAAATTACATGCAAGTAGTTTTTTTTATTATTATCCCCAACTTACCGAAACAATCACGTTGAGATGCAACAGAACCAATTCAGAAGCTTTTCTGTAACGAGTAAATGAGGTAAAACATATTTTTAGTAATTCGCCAAGCATTAAATCAAGCTAACAAAACACTTCAAAGTTTGTGTGACATAGATTAGCTATGGAGAGAAATAACTAGTAAACATAAATTGATTTACGTCTTTAGTCACGTCGCAGAGTTGACTCAAATTATCACTTAAATCTAATTTACGAGATGTGGGAGCAAACACTTTCTATGACAAATTCGAGGTACTCAAACGTGCGCATACGGCAACAATGGTCAGCACATGGACTGCGGCCAGCTTGTTAACTCATCCAAAAAGTAAACCACATTCTTGAGAGCATTAGAAAAACTAAACTACAAAAAACGACTACAGGCCAAACAAAAAGATAGAGCCATGAATAGCAAGAGCAGAAAAAACATGTTCAGCGCGTGTAGTGGCAGCAGCAACATCAACTTAAATAGCAACAACAACGGGGGGCGTTGGGCGTGGCCAGAGTGCAAAATGCAAAACAACATTGAAGACGAGAAAATCTGGCTACTGTAATTTGTCTGCCCACCAAAGACACGACCCCCAATTCCCCCCCTTCACTCTCCTCATCCCGCAGCACTTTTCCATATCTAAGCCCCTAAACTTGGTTGCAATATGTTTGCTCGTTCGCTGGGTTGTTGATCGCGTTTGGCCAGCCGGTTGTTGTTGGCCACTACGACTTGGTCCGGGCCAGTTTGCAATTGCTGCTCTACTTTTGAGTGTGTGTCCGCCCCCTGGCCCCTCTGGCCCCTTAGCAGCTTCCCCCTCCCCTTCCCGCTTAAGCCCCCTTTTCGGTCGGTGGTATTCGCTTCCTAAAGTTGCCGGCGTCGTTGGCCGCCTTTTGTCGCTGAGGTCAATTTTTATGTTGCAGCCATTTTTCAGCGACACAGCTACAAAAAAAAAAGAATTAAATAGAAAAATTTGTTTCCTTGCACTGGAAAAAATCTAAAAAAATAAGTTGTATACTTCGAAAGAAAAATCTCAATTGTTAAGAGTCGGCAATGGAAATAGATAACATAAGTAAAACATGCAATTCTTTGAAAAGGCTTTACATAAATAATATAAAAAGAATAGTCGAAAAGAATATGTTAATATATGCTAAAAAAAAATAGTACAAACAAAAAAGTAAATGCTGTCTTAGTTAAAAAAGAACAATTGGAAGACACAATAAATTATTATTATTTAGGTTGCCTTTCATTTAGTTTTCTCAGTATAATATCTTGGTTACTTCTCTGCAGATGCATTTTTAATAACTAACAGCTTTTTTATACCCTTTTTACGCCCTGACTGAATCAGTATTTGCGCTTCAGTTTATGAGATGCCTTTTTATGAACTCTATTTTTTACGATGTAAGGATTCAATGGGGTGACTTTGATTTTAACCTAGTTGCCTCATCCATGCTTTGATAAATTTGCAAACAATTATAGCAACGTTACGAAATTCAACAACCTTTTTTACAGGGTAGTTAGGGCTTCTACAAATTAAGTCAAACAAGATTTTCTGCTTCTTCTTTAGCATCTACTTGACTTTTTTGTGATTTTATTTTGGTTTTGTACATTTTTCATGTTGTCTGCAGCACTTAAAGTTACGTATACGTATGAGCATTTTGTGTAGGTCTACTTGGCTGTTTTTTTTTTGTTACAGCCTTTGTTGCAGACAAACTTTTTCAACTTGACACTTGAACTGAGAGAACCCCAGCCGAATGAACACTCTTGTAGTCAAGAGGCGGCCTCAATGGCTTGACACTTTCAGTTGGTAATTAGTTTTGCGGCCATGCATGTAAAATGCAATTTAGCACTAAAGACTGAAAGAGGAGGCTGCCCAGATCGAAAAAGTGAAAATTCCTATTTAGAGCAAACTAAAACGATGAAGTTGCGCTAGACAATCGATTATAATCTAGCATTGAATAAAGTTTTGTGGGCCTTTGTTTACTGGCAACCTTGAACTGTTGCAAGTTAAGAGCCGCGATTGCAACAGTCTGGAGTGACTGGCAAATGATTGGGGCAGACTTTCGAGTGTCTGTCAATCAAGTCGAATCCGAATCCGAATTAAATCATTGACAAATAACAATAATCAGTAACAAGGCTGTAACCTGCTGTTGCTGCTGATGCTTTTTGCATTTGTTTATTGTTGCATGCGGCATGCAATCTTGCCAAAGCCCTGCAGCAATGAAAAGTGAAAATTCTTGGCTGGCTGCTGAAAAGTTTTTGGCCCACCAGCGGGGATTTCTACATGTTTTCCAAGTAAATATGATGAGGCAGGCACCCTTTCTCCTTTTGTTGATGGCAAACTGTGCCGTCGTCATGTGCCACATTTGCAGTAAGCTGAAAGTAAAAATAAAAATAAAGCCCAGTGAACTGAAACTGAAACTGAGCATGCAGCATAAATATGTGAATAATGCATAAACAACTAGAACACATTGCACCGGCAGCAGCAACTGTTGCTGTGTGTTGCATGTTCGCCGAGCAACAAAAAACCTCGACGCAAAAAAAAAAAAACAAAATTGGCTCAACTACAAACATAAATATGAACATTTACTGGGAAAAGTTTATGCACAGGTAATTAGAGCCAGCAGTTTTGTTTGGCGTTGCTCATGTTGAATGCAGCTGGAGTTGCGTTCTTTTCACCCAAACAAAATAGACGAGTCCAGACTTTGCTCCTACTTTAATTAAATTCTTCGGCATACAATCGAGTGGGGGAAGCAGCGAATTCTTAGCGGCAAACAATTTTCAAATGCTCTTTGTGCACAAGTTCCGAATCATAATATGAATGGCAGTCGGCAAAGTCGGCGAACTTCAAAAAGAAAATAAGGGCCGTCCAACAAATGGTAAATACTCTTGAAAAATAGAGAACAAATCCAATAAGGTTGGAAAGTCATTGAAAAATAAAACAGAGTGTAATACATATTCAAGAGTCTTTGGATGCATACAACTTGGAATCTGCTGCACATTCTATTCAAAACAATCCTCATAAATTCTTTTAATAAAAAGTTAAGTTCCTTGCATATTGCATTTTAAATCACCAACCCATGTAACCTCAATAGAAAAGAGTAGCCAAGAGCCCAGGTTATAGGGCATTGGGAAAAAGAGGAAAAGCTAAAATATTGGCAAAGCAGGAATTTTCACAGTTGCAACCCAAAGTTCATCAAAACAGCATAACTGCAGTTGCAGTTGCAGTTCGCCACAGTCAAAGCCAAAGACCAGAGCCACCCACTCGGCGTTGAAGCGGGTAAATAGGCCAACTCGAAGGGGGTTACTGCTACATGGGCGTAGAGGGGAGGAAACGAGCAAAGGGGAGACGAACTGTGCCCAAGGGGCTCTTGGCTAACAATGCATATGACAAACTTTTGTCAATTTATTAAGAAGCGAAGAAATATGGTTTCTCTCTTCGAGCCAAGCTAACCTGATTCCCAGGAGAAACCAGGCAACGTGGTCAGCCGGAGGAAGAGTTTCCTGCTGGATGCACTCCGCGTGGCAGCCCCTTGTGGAGTGCCCCTCATGGATCTCCCTCATGTAACCGCTGATACTCATCGTCATCAGAAGTTCCAGTTGCAGCTTTAGCCAAGACGCAGTTCAAACAACTTTCCTTCGCATAAATTGATGATAACAAAGGCCTGGAATCAGAGTTTGCTACCAAAACGAGTTGCATTGGACATTTAGTGAACATTGAAAGAAATAATTCAATATTATGATATACAATGTCAATATATCTTGCTGATCATTGAATTCCATAATTAAGGAGGCAATTCACTTGAGAAAAGAGTAATGCGTAGTAGGAAATGCAAAAACCTAAAGAGGAATTTAATTGAAAAAGGGAATTAAATACACAAAGTTGCATAAATATTTACTTAGTTTTTGCCTAGTATTTAAATTTGAATTTAAACATTTCCATGTTGTTTTTTATTGTTATTTTTTTCTATTAATAACTTGTTTTTCTCAGTGTTTTGTTGCAGCGCCAGTTATGAATTATGTCAAATAGCATAATTGCCAGTCCAGCTTGAGCAGCTGCTGCAATCGTCGGCGGTTTTTAGTTTTCGGTTTGACTTTGAGTTCGAGTTGGAATTGGAGTGGAGTTTTAGGTTTTGGCATCGAGTGCTGGCAGGAAGCAATAAATTCTATGCATTGCACCCGATACACTTTGTAGCTGATAGGATAGGATGGACTGGGATGGGATGGCTGGGGATGCTGGGGATCGCCAGATAGATGCCCGTAGATAGATAGATAGATGGCTGGCACAGATGCGGAAATGCGAGGAGCTGCAGCTGAAAAGGAGCACCAGGCAGCAGGCAGAAGGCAACTACAGAAGCTAATGAACGTGGCTGTCTGCCTTAACGGTTCTGGTTAAATTGTTGGTAATTTGCTTTTTTCAGCATGCCGCTGCCGATCATCAATTTATGCATTTATCTACTATATACAGTTATGGCACGCATCTTGCCATCTGCTCTACATACTATATATACACGTACATAAATGTTAGTGTTTGTAATGTGGTATATATACCCCTCTTGTTTATCCAACTTTCCCTTGCTCGCTGGAGCTTTGCGAGCAGATTTGTACTCTAATTATCAGGCCTCATGAGCTTCAGATGGAGCTGGCTTCATCTTGGCTAAGATTTCACACTCACACTGATGAGGGTCGCCACTCCCCTTTTAGCCCCGATTTTCCCCAACTCCCCGGCTCGTCATGCACTTGAATCCGAATCTGAGAACTCGCCTGGTGAAAAGTGAAACCGAAAAAGGGAAAACTCTCGTCGAGAAACATGAGAACCCCCCGAAGACTTTTACCCTTTTAACAAACAAATGGAAGATGGCCAAGAAAGTAGATATGTGTGTGAGTGTGTCTTTGTGTGTGTGTAACTCATATTGAGGTTATTAGTAACAAGGCCACTGCAACTTATACAAAAAGTGGGAGGTAGGAAGTTGGGTTTCAGGCCGGTGCCGCATGCACTTTGGCTCACAAAATGATAATTTATGTCGGCAATATTTGAATAC